GAACTTTAAAATAATCAAGAAACAACTAGCGTAAAAGCCCGCAGGCAGCTGGAGGACAGCACCTGACCCAGGGAGGTATTTGTATCTTTCAGTAAAAGCGTGTGAGTTCCAAAGGTAAAGTCAGAAGACGCTAAGGAAGACTGGGCCTAATAAACACTCCAAACTAACCAGCCCAAGCCCCCATCCAGAACAGACGCCCAGCTGGGAACAGACTCCAAATTGAGCACTTCAGGAAAATAGAGAAAAGCAAAAAAGAGAACCCAGACTACAGTAGGAGAGAATGGAATGGAAGTTCTCAGAAAGTGAGGGGCCCTATTTTTAAAATACTCAACAAAAACAACAGAAGAGAGTGCTCTACCATTGTGAAATGAGAAAAACCCTTCAAATTATGCCTCCTTTCAAAAAGTTCAAGAAATCTAATATTATGTAAACATAAGTAGCAGAAAAGGATTGAAGTCAAATCCCACACAGTTATTCAAAGAAAAAAAGAAAAAGTAGAATAACATCCCTGCAGACGATAAAAGCATGCCAGAGAAACACACAGGTGAAAACTACAGCCTAATATTTTGACATAAAAGCAAAGCAAAGGAGGGGAAGGGAGGGGAGGGGAGGAAGGCACAGCTCATCTGTAGTATTCAGGAACCGGGAGCACAACTGCAAAGAAAAGAGGCGATTAGCACAAAAGCCAGGCTGGCGTTTACTCTTAGAGGAGGGGTGGGGCTTTGCATTTGGGAAAGTGAACCTGGCAGGCTTATGGGGTCAGAGTCAATTTCCTTTACACGGGGATGTTTAAAGGTGTTTATCTCGTAATTTCGTTAACCTCTCATTTTGTCTTATGCTATATATACATGTATGTGTATAATGGTGTTTTTTGTGTTTCATTTTGGTTTTGGTTTGTTTTTTGTATTTGTTTTTTTGTTTGTTTGTTTGTTTTGAGATGGAGTCTCACTCTATCTCCCAGGCTAGAGTGCAATGGTGGGATCTCGGCTCACTGAACCTCCTAGGTTCAAGCGATTCTCCTGCCTCAGCCTTCCAAGTAGCTGGGACTACAGGCGCCCTCCACCATACCCGGATGATTTTTGTATTTTTAGTAGAGATAGGGTTTCACCATGTCAGCCAGACTGGTCTCAAACTCCTGACCTCAAGTGATCAGTCTGCCTTGGCCTCCCAGAATGGTAGGATTACAGGCGTGAGTCACCGTGCCTGGCCATAATGGTTTCTTTTTTAGCAACTAAATTTGTTTAAAAGAGTGTTCATCTCAGTATTGTTCATAATTGCCCCAAACTCCGTTGACAGGAGTGCATGAATAAATTGTGCTATTCAGAGGATGATCTGTTATTCAGCAATGAAATAAATGACCTATTCCTCCAGTGAAACTTAGAAACATGATTATGGAGAGGGAAAAAAACAAGTATCAAAAACCTACATGCTATACGATATCATTTTTATAAGCCTTAGAAACCAAGCAAAAATGAAACAGTATATTATTTAGGAATACATATGTATCTGATTTTTAAAACTATGTTTTAAGGAAGCAAGGCTGGCAAACATAAAATTTAGGATAGACTGTATACCATATAACATTTTCATAATGCTCAGAAATCGGCAAAAATTGAACAATATTGTTTAGGAATAAGTAGACATGTGATTTTTAAAACTATTCTTTTAAAAAGCAGGGGAATGATAAACCCAAAATTCAAGCTGGTTTTTATTTCTAGGGAAGCCAGGAGGATGTAACAGGGTAGCTAGACCCCAGTTTTCTTCCTAGGTCGTGTGGTGGGTTCACAGTATACTTTTGATTATCATGTTTCATGATTCACAAATGTGTTTTATATGAAGACTTCATCAGATCTGCATGCTAAGAATACAAATTAAAAATTGAATTATCTCCATCAGTCATTCGTTTATTCATTCAGTCATGCAACAAATAGGCATTGTGTACCTGCCCTGTGCCAGGCCCTGTGCTAGGTCCTAGGATAGGGCAGTGACAGACACCACAGCTGTCCACTCAAAGTTCACAGCCTCCCGGGACATTCTACGCCATTGGTGATGGGGCCAAGTGGGAATTGGGTTTTTAAAAATCTGCACTGCAGAGAGCACTATTTACAATAGCAAAGACTTGGAACCAACCCAAATGCCCATCAATGACAGACTGGATAAAGAAAATGTGGCACATATACACCATAGGATACTATGCAGCCATAAAAAAGAATGAGTCCATGTCCTTTGCAGGAACATGGATGAAGCTGGAAGCCATCACCCTCAGCAAACTAACACAGGAACAGAAAACCAAACATCACATGTTCCCACTCATAAGTGGGAGCTGAACAGTGAGAACACGTAGACACAGGGAGGGGAACATCACACACTGGGGCCTGTTGGGGGTTGGGAGCAAGGGGAGGGAGAGTATTAGGATGAATACCTAATGAGTGTGGGGCTTAAAACCTAGATGACAGGTTGATAGATGCGGCAAACCACCATGGCACATGTATATGTATAAACCTGCACGTTCTACACACGTATCCCAGAACTTAAAGTAACAACAACAATAACAACAAAAAATCTGCAGAGAGTAAGTAAGAGCGAGGACGATCCATAATCAGGACCTTCCATTCCAGGATAACTAGGAAATACCTTGTTGGTATGACTTGAGGGAGGTAATTTTTAAATTAAGGTAGTTAAGGCAGCCAACAGGAGACAGCAAAAACATCAGACAGGCACTCCAGGTCGGTGGTTCCCAATACTGCCAATGTTGTTCCCCAAAGAAGTTATCTTTGTCTTAAGCAATGTGATATGCACATGCAGGCAAACATGCGCGCACACACACGGGTTATTCGAAGTTTATTTCCTCCCTATGTTTCTGTGCTAGGATCTCCTTTCACTTATGTATTGATAGTGATGATAGACAGTGGTCGGACTTCGTTACTGTTTAGGCAAGTGTGGTTTGGTTTTTAATGTCCATACTTAGTAAACTAAAGAGCTGCCAAATCCAAATCGATCTCTAAGATTTAGATTCTTCATTATGTAAACCCTGAAGTCTGAGAATCATGGTCCAGAGTCATGTCTGAACCTAGCACTTTCCTTTTTGAGTAGAATGACTGAGGTCACTTTTTTTTTTTTTCTTTTTTTTTTGAGACGGAGTCTCACTGTTGTCACCCAGGCTGGAATGCAGTGGCACGATCTCGGCTCACTGCAACCTCCACCTCCCAGGTTCAAGCGATTCTCCTGCCACAGCCTCCTGAGTAGCTGGGATTATAGGTGCCCACCACCACGCCTGGCTGATTTTTGTATTTTTAGTAGAGACAGGGTTTCTCCAAGTTGGCCAGGCTAGTCTCAAATTCCTGACCTCAGGTGATCCGCCTGCCTCGGCCTCCCAAAGTGCTAGGATTATAGGCTTGAGCCACTGCACCTGGCCTGAGGTCACTTTTCAATACTTGGTTAAGACCTTGCTTGCCCTCAGGAGTAGCCTTGCCTTGACTACCTGCCCAGCACCACCCCCATCCATAGGGCCTGGAGGAGCTCCTCAGCTTATCTCTGAGCAGAGCTGAAAACCCCCTATGGCTGTCACCAAGGTGAAAGGAAAGGATTGGTAGTTAATAGCAAAAGCAGCAGTATATGCATATGCATGTGTGTATTATTACAAATACATCTGTTCCGGCAAGATAGCTCTACTACAGAGTCAACCCACAAGAATGTTTAGCTGAGGCTCCAGAGGCCCTGTTGAGGAGTGTGCTGTGTCTGAGGTCAAATAAGTGCTTAATCCACTGGCTCCTTCTTCCTTGTATCTGCCAGTGTGGCCAGCCGCTGCACCCATTTCCGTTCCACCTCCACCATATCTGCCATTTCCACCCAGGCTTGGACCTCATTTCTTTATATCAATGTTTCCTTCGAATCTACTCACTTGTTCTCCCTGAAAATGTTTGTTTGTTTGTTTGTTTGTTTGTTTGTTTGGAGACGGAGTCTCACTCTGTCTTCCAAGCTGGAGTGCAGTGGTGCGATCTCAGCTCACTGCAACCTCCGCCTCCCAGGTTCAAGCGATTCTCCTGCCTCAGCCTCTGGAGTAGCTGGAATTACAGGCGCCTACCACCACGCCCGGCTAACTTTTGTATTTTTAGTAGAGACAGGGTTTTGCCATGTTGGCCAGACAGATCTTGAACTCCTGACCTCAGGTGATCCGCCCGCCTTGGCCTCCCAAAGTGCTAGGATTACAGGCGTGAGCCACGGCGCCCGGCCTGAACACATTACTTTTTAATATTCCCTATGGAGAAGCAGCATAGCACAGAGGTTATAAACACAAAGTCCAGGCCAGTCATGGGGACTCAGGCCTGTAATCACAGGGATCTGGGAGGCAGGAGGATCGCTGGAGGCCAGGGGTTCAAGACCAACTTGGGCAACATAGTGAGACCCCATCTCTACAAAAAAAAATTTTTAAGTATTACTCAAGCTGGTAGTACACACCTGTAGTTCCAGCTTCTCAGGAGGCTGAGGTGAGAGGATCACTTGAGTCCAGGAGGTCAAGGCTGTCGTGAGCCATGACTGTACCACAGCACTCTGGCCTGGCTGACAGCAAGCCACTATCTCTAAAAAAAAAAAAAAAAAAAAAAACGATTAAAAAAAGAACACAAAATCTGGAACCACACTGCCAGGGTTTCAGCACCACTTCTACTACCTCCTAACCTGATTTAACCGCCTCTTGCCTCAGTTTCCCCAGCTATAAAATGAAGGTGATTATAGTTCTTATCACATAAGTTTGTTACTAGGTTATGAGAAAAACAAGAGTTACCCTTTTAACATAATTTTATTTTTAACTTTAATTTTAGGTTCAGTGGTACATGTGAAAGTTTGTTACACAGGAAAGCCACTGTCATGGGGGTTTGTCGTACAGATTATTTCATCACCCAGGTATTAATTAAGCCCAGTACCCAATAGTTATCTTTTCTGCTCCTCTCCCTCCTCCCAACTTCCACCCTCAGGTAGGCCTCGGTGTCCGTTGTTCCCCTCTTTGTGTCCATGTGTTCTCATCATTTAGCTCCCACTTATAACTGAGAATATGTGGTATTTGGTTTTCTGTTCCAAGAGTTTCTCTTAGGCTGAGATGCGAGGATCACTTGAGCCAGGGTGGTCGAGGCTGCAGTGAACCGCAATCCTGCCACTGCACTCCAGCCTGGGGTGATAGAGGAGACCCTACCACAAAGAAAAAAGAAGAGAGAGAGAGAGAGAGAGAATGAGAGAGAGAAAAAAAACAGTTTCTCTTTTTAAGGTATTTAAAACAGGTCTTCCACAGAGTAAGTGCTATATAAGCATTTGCTAAATAAAAATTTCTAACATGAATAGAAAAACGTTATTACTGGCTGTAAGACCTTAAAGCAATTACAACCTCAAAATAAATAAAAACAAGACAATATAATTAAATTCTAGCTAGATTTTTTACCTGCTAAAATGCTTGGTGGAGACCCGCTCTCAAAAGAACAGAGAGAGGCAAGCAAGTGAAGTCTTAAGGACATGCCATCACCAAACTAAAACCTCTTCTTCTCTCAACCAGAAGACCTGAAAGAAAACTGAAGTAACAGTAACTGTCTTCCTGCGCTACCCACCCTCAACCATCTCCAGGTCCACTAGGAGCATGTTGTACATGTTCTGGAAAGTTCTGGAAAGGTATTAAGATATAAAAAGTTAGTAGCCAGGTGTGGTGGTAGACGCCTGCAATCCCAGCAACTTGGGAGGCTGAGGCAGGAGAATCGCTCGAACCCGGGAGGCGGAGGTTGCAGGGAGCTGAGATCATGCCATTGCACTCCAGCCTGGGAGACAGAGCCAGACTCCGTCTCAGAGAAAAAAAATTTTAAAAGATACAAAAAGTTGGGAAAGTGAGAGGTGTCCCGAGTAGCCCATATACATGAAAAATGAAACCAGGCGATCCTGTGTGGATCTATATATCATAAATGCCCCTGGGCTGGAAGTGGAATATCTTATACCAATAGGTCGGCTCTGATGCAGGGAATCTGTTTTCACTTTGAATTGAAGCTCTGCTGTTCATGGCACTGCCAGGGTGGGACTGTCACTCACCAAGCCTCCTTCCTGTCCTTGGTCCGGGGTGATTCGGCACTTCCCCAGCAGGTGACTCCAGGTGACAGCCAACAGCCAGCTTGCTCCTGTTCTCTTTCTCAGGCAGAGCTGGCTCTTAATTTTCATGCATTTATTCTTTAGCCACTTGAGATGCCTGGCTGGAGGGACGGGGAAGAGATTTAGCATCTTGGTGCCTCCAAGCCTCCCATCCAGCATGGTCCAGGTTAACAAACACCTGTAAAGCATCCGTCTCCGCTGGTCCTGACAGACAGGGTGAGCACCCCGGTGCATCCTCCCTCCTAAGAGGATTAAGAGGGGGTGTTTGGAAAACAGAGCTGCATCCCTGGAGGGAAGATGCCACAGAGACATCAACACACAGTTCTGCATAATCGGTTCAACAGCAGAACAACAAAAAGGGGAAAAGAAGATTAAAAAATAATCCAAATGTCATAGTACTGAGGAGTGTGATGAAATGGGGAATCAGCTGGAAGCATTAAACCTAGAATCACCAACCACCCCCGCTTCACTCTTCAAAACTCAAGGCTTCGGCGGGAAACAACATGCTCATCCTTGGGAGGGCTCCTCTAAGTCCCGCCTGAAAGACGGATGTCCACTTCTGAGGCTCTGTCTCTGAGGATGGGCACGGGGAAGCTGTGGCAGTCCAGCCATCCTGCGGGGGTGTCATGAATAATTAGCTGGGCTCTTCACAGTGGAGCGCAGCCCTAGTCTCTCTCCCTCTTCCTTGGTGGGAAGGAAGCCCAGGTCCCTGAGAGACACTGGTGGCCATCTCCTTGGAGGCTTCAGGCTGGCCATTGACAGTGGCACCAAGGTGTAGCTCGGGGCAGGGGTGCAGGCACTTAGCACTCGGCAAGCTCTGTGGGCCTCCTCCCTGCCTCCCATTCATTGTCATGAGCTTGGCAGGAGAAGCTTCCAGTCCGCCTCTCAGTGCTGCACCCCCTCTGCCCACACTCCTGGGCATCCAGCCCAGGGCCTGCCTTGGTGCCAGTTCTGCCCTTCCTGCCTCCTCCTTCCTGCTCTGCCTTCTCCCCCTCTCTCTTCCCCACATCCATTTCTATTTTACAATGGTTTTGGGGTTTTTTGTTTTTTGTTTTTTGTTTTCTTGAGAGGGAATCTGGCCCTGTTGCCCAGGCTGGAGTGCAGTGGCATCATCTTGGCTCACTGCAACCTCCACCTCCTGAATTCAAGCAATTCTCCTGCCCCAGCCCCCCGAGTAGCTGAGATTACAGGCACGTGCCACCACACTCAGCTAATTTTTGTATTTTTAGTAGAGACGGGGTTTCACCATGTTGGCCAGCCTGGTCTTGAACTCCTGACCTCAAATGATCCAACCGCCTCAGCCTCCCAAAGTGCTTGGATTGCAGGTGTGAGCCACTGTGCCTGGCCCTATTTTACAATGTTTAATGACCCAAACTTGAGGATTTTTCCACTTCTCTACACCATATAATCAAATCAAAAAATCAGATATTAGGCTGTGACAATGGCACTGAATCTTGGAAACTGGAAGGTCCAGTCTCAGGACATCCTGGAAAGTTCAGCACACAAGCAAGCCCCATGCAACTGTGTGATGAAACAGCCCCACACCTCCAGGTGCAGAGCCAAGGCGTCCTGTGCACACCTTCCTGGTAGAAACTGGCTTTTCAACTTTCTCACCCATGAAAGGAAAGCGGTTTCAGACATCAGGTTCCCCCCTCTCCTAAGTCACATCCTTTTCTCATTCCCAGCTGAGGAGCTGAGCCTGAGACACTGAGGTTCCCAGCTGCCTGAGTTTCACATCCTCCCAATCGTCAGAGCCAGGAGGGCATGCCTCACTGACCACGAGGAAATGTCACATCCCGCCTGGCTGAGCCATGTTGCAGACAGGCTCCTAGCTAAGCACTTGGCCGATACCCCAGTATTCAATGCTGACACCCCACAAAGGCATAAGTAGCCTAATTTTGCGGATGATGAAAATAGGACTCAAACTAAATTGTGTACAGTTGTAGGGTTTATCGAGGGCAGAAAACTTCTCCATAGCAGGTCTCTGGCAACCCAGAGCCCCTCCCTGCACTCCTGTGTCCCTGTCGCTACACCCATAGAACCCCCAAGAGGCCTCCATGGATCACTGGGCTTGTACAATTTTTGTCTGGGTATATATATATTACCAAATTACCTCCATCCCAAAAATACTGTTCCAGGTTTCCTGTTACTATATGGAAACACTGATGTACATCGGCCTGTGTTCATTTTGTATACTATCCGTATAGTGGGTGGGTTGTTTGGGGGGATTTTTTTGCAACCTAAAAGCTAAAATATTTTTCATGTTTAAAACTGAAATCCATGTGCACGGATGGGACATTTTTAAAAATAAATATTTCATGGGTATTTGCCAACAGAATCTTATGGTTGGTCATTTTGTAAATGATTTAACCCATCATTTCATGGGAATTAATTTAGATTTGAATATCCATAGGTAGCATAAGGTGAAAAACCTCTAAAATTTGAACCCATACTCTGGGATGGGAGACCCTAGGCAAATTAACCTGTCTGAGCTTCAGTTTTCTCATTTGTAAGAAGGGGATGTACTATCTGTGTTCCAGGATCGTGGAGGAGATCAGAGGAGGTCATCTACCAAAAGGCCCCCACCATCCTCACAAAATATCATTACTCTCATCCTTTCATTCTTAGGTTGACTTAAATAGGGAATACAAATGTATTTACATATTCTTATTAAATTCTTCAAAACTGATAATTTATTCAAATCCAAATCATACAGAGATAATAAAAATATCTACTGTGCATAAAACCGTTAGAAAAGAATGACTCAATAACTATCACCTGACATTTTATTTAACATGATATAGTGCGATAGTCTCGGCACAAAGTGACCTTAACTGCTTCCAAATTCCTTCCTCATTTTTCCTGTAACAAATCATATGGTGAAGGAAGACCTTCATCAGGGTCACGCAACTTGGAGGAGCTTCTTGGGGGAAGGGCACAGGCATCTCTGGGCTGTGGAGGAAAGGCTCCGGAACTGGCTTTAATGGAGCTTTTTCTCAACAGGCTCTGTCCCGTCTCCCTTTGCATGTGTCAGGTCCTCAGTAGCTGGGACCCCATTTTCTCTGTCTGTCGTATCCCACCCCCAACACCTGACCAACTCAAATCATCACATACATTTTTAAACAGGTAGTGGATATCCAACACTGTGTCAGGGCATGGAGAAAATGGAAAAGAAACCGAAATTGTGGTCCTGGTGCTGAGACACAGGTAATCTCATCAAGCAATTTGGGCAGAGGCTGAGTTACCTGGATATGATTGCTGGTATCTGGATTTCTTAATATAAGTTCCAGAAAGCCTGGTAACTTTTAGAAGAGTATATGGTATAGCAAGAAAAGTGAATCCGTTCATTCATACGTAAATAACAGATGCATGCATTTATTAACTCCCAGTGTGTGCAGGCCATGGAAATGCAACAGTAAGCCTGATCTTCAACCTCAGGGAGAGCCACATCTTTTGGGTAAGGTCAGTATATAAAAATGCAAGGCCAGCCAGGCGTGGTGGCTCACGCCTGTAATCCCAGCACTTTGGGAGGCCGAGGCAGGCAGATCACAAGGTCAAGAGATCAAGACCATCCTGGCCAACATGGTGAAACCCCATCTCTACTAAAAATACAAAAATTAGCTGGGCATGGTGGCGGGCGCCTTTAGTCCCAGCTACTTGGGAGGCTGAGGCAGGAAAATAGCTTGAACCCGGGAGGCAGAGGTTGCAGTGAGCCGAGATCGCGCCACTGCGCTCCAGCCTGACAACACAGCAGGACTCCATCTCCAAAAAAAAAAAAAAAGCAAGGCCACAGTGTGTGATCAGTGCCACAGAGGACTAGCCCGGACACAGCAGGATGAAAAGGAGAGTAGGGTTGAGTCTCCTGGCTGTGAAGTGCTGGGAAGGTGGGACGGAAAGGACCTTAGGGACAAGATGGTCCTTGGCTGTGCCTCCCACGATGAATGCTAGTCTGGTGGAACATTCAGAGACCAGAGTGGGAAGTTGGAGGAAGTGGCAGCACGGTGTGCCCAGAGAGAACAGGGCAAGGGGATAGGGGAGAGCTGGGGGAGACAGGAGGGGGTGCCAAATTCCATAGCTGGAGGAGAAGCTGGAGATGTAGCCAGAGATCAAACCCAGGAAGCCCCAGTACACCATGCCAGAGTGTGCATGCGATTCAGAAGGAAACAAGGACCCATCCGATGGTTCTGAACAGGGAGGGATACGGCAGTCAGACTTGCATTTTTAAAAGATGACTCTGGCAGCGGCATGAAGGATGGACTCCGTGGATGAGAGTCTGCAGGAAAGGGCACCAGACGGGAGAGTGTCTCTGCGGTCAGCATGAGAAATGATGAGGCCCAGAGCAGGGCAGTGGCGGTGGGAAGGGAAGGGGAGGCCGTTCTCATGAGATGTTCATTCCGGCAATTCTGAGCTGACTCCTGTTGAGGAGGTATCAGCAAGTAGTGAAAGGCAAAGAAGGGTATCACTTGCTCCAGCTATGACTAGGAATTTCTTCCTAGTACCCCCAGTGAGCGTAAGGACCCTCCTTCACCTGTGAAGTCCCTCCTGATGGTTGGTTCTGGTAGGCTCCATCACTTAGGAGCTGGGAAACCTCGGGCAGGTCACTTTACCTCCAAGTGCCCCTTCCCCATCTGTAAGATGCAGATAACTAGTACCTACCTCACAGGAGTCATGAGCAATAGTGAGTAAATATCTGCAAAGTGCTTTAGTGAGGCCTGGCCTGCAGGGCAAGCACTTGATAAATGTTGGCTCTTTTATACCTGGCTCAGTCTCATTTCTGATGGCTTGTCCTGCAGAGCTTGCTGGACCTTGCTGGAAAAATACTTGAAATTCTGAAATATGGCTTTTGTCACATACGCAACATCTATACAATGGAAGTGACCACCAGCCAGAAACCAAGCAACTATCACACCTCAGTCCCCACCAGCTCACCCTCACATGTTCCCATGTACACACATGCGCACCACCCAAGACGCTCTCCCACAACCCCATCACAACGGCCTCTGCCCTCAAGTGTACAACTTTGGAGGGTTATTTGAAAGGAGAGCTAATAACACGCTTTTTTTAAAGAAGACATCACATATGCATTTTTAAGATGGGAAGT